AGGCCGTCCGGGAAGAGAAGAAACGCGAACACCAATTCAACGACGCCCGCTCGATTCATTCGTTTGACTCGTCCCAACCTGCTCCACACTCTGCCCCGTCGATCAAAAGTCGCGCCTCGAGCGGGAGCAACCCGCGTTCAATGCCCGGCTGGATTCCCAAGTTCAAAAAGTCCAAGAAGGGCAAAAAAGCCTTGGCCGCACTCGCCGCGGTCCCGCCTACTCCTGATCTACCACGAGACCCATTTGCAGCGGCACCGAGCTCATCACAGCATGATGCTGGTTCGTCGCGACACGGACATGGGCTAGCTGCCCCAGATGCGGTAAGTCTCTCCTACGACACGCATGAGCAGAATGCTTACCCTCCATAGCCCCGTACGGCCTCTCCGATTCCAAAGGAGAATTACCTTTCACCTCCGCCGCTTATGCCCACTCCCCCATCTTCTCCTACTCCCAAACAACTTCGGCCCCTTCGCGCAACCCATTCTCATGGTGACCTGTCCTCGGACCCTCAAACCGCCACGCCGGATATGTGGGCTTCGATTGCTCAACTAGAGTCCGAGCTTGTCGCGCGTTATGGTCGTGGAGCAGTTCCCCAGTTCGAGGCGCTCCGTGAACGGGCCCAGCAGATGTCTAAAATCCCTCAACCTGGACGGCAACACACCCAACAATCATACGACTGGCCCGAGCGTTCCGAGCTGCCATACGTGTCGGAAGAACCGGGCACGGGTAGGCCATCATATTCGAATTGTTCAGGAGACCCAGACTGGTATTCCGAGCAACCACCTGTACCACGCGCTCGAAACCGGACGGAAACCCTGCCTGCAAAACGAGGGACAGGTATCGCGCATCCAACGAGAACATTTGTTGATGACTTGGATATCTATACCCACGATACCATACGTGGGGGAGGAAGAATTGCACAACCATCCAGGGCGAAAGACCCGAGCCCAGAACCCCCGGAAGAGGAAGATAGCGACGATGGCGCGCTGGCATATCTGCAAGCTCTGGGACTGGAGCCTGCCGAGGGGCCCCGCAAGGTTAAATCGACACAACACGCGCCGATAACCACCCAAGCTGGTTCCCAGCCCCGACCCGCTCTCCATCCAACACGCGCGGCTACGTTGCCCACACCCATCCAGCCAGTCCGATATCCCACCGATCAAGTGTCGCGCCTAGAACAAGCGCGACACGACGCCTTAGTCGCAAGCATCGTCAACCCCCCGCCTGCTGCCCTTGAACAATACTCTTCTCGCCAGCAAGCACCTCGGCCCGATTATGTTACCACCACAAAGCGCGCACCCTCGAGCGACGCACTGGGGCTTATGGTCGATGCATCTTCCTCGCGTTCACCATCTCCACTTCCGGACACACCACCCGTGAATGACATACCTCCAGGTCCCGACTCGCCCGGGCGTAAATCACTACGCCAGCTCCCACCACGCCCCCCACCGCCAAGCACCTTTGCACCTTTTGCACCCGCCAATTCAATTGCACCGCTCAATGTGACGCGCTCACCAAGACCGATGCCGCCCGAATCGCCGCTCACTCCCGCGCAAATATCGCCTGTGCCGTCCCTGAAAATCTCGCCACGTCCCCAGCCCTCTCCAATGTCGTTGGCCCCACCACCTGCCAACTCTCGTCGAGGAGGGACAGGTCCGGGTGCCTCGCAGCTGGCTCTTCCTCTCGTGCGGGTAAGAATCACATCACCCCCACACCGTGGCGCGTTGCGCGCGCTTCCTGCGCTTATCATGCTAACCGCCGGTGCTCGCGCGGCGTTTGCGGCAGCCACATGGGCACAGATGGTCGCATATTGCGCGCGCAATGCGGGTGTCACGATTGCTAAGCGCGGTGGTGGTGGCGCATTGCGAGTGGCGGTCGAGGAGCGCATGGCAGAGCTGACTAGTCCGGGTGGCGGGCGTGGTAATGGAGATGAAGAAGTTGGGTTCGGGTTGGGTTATTATATCTCTGTTGAGATGACGCTCGAGGGCGAGACAGTCGAGGAGTATTCGACAGAGAGTAGCGTGCCCGTCGCGACCATGTCAATTCCTCTGCCGACTACAATGGGGGAGGTCGCCACTATGTTTAGAGAGCGGAAGGATATCCGGAAAGCCTTGAGCTAGACAGACACATTCCTTGATTTGACACTTCGTTCTATTCTTTGTTTCTTTTGTTTGGGTTGTGGAACTCTTTATCGCTCATTTGTATTGTCTTGCTTCCAGTCTTGTCGGTTTAATTCTATTGAACGGTTCAATGCAGTTCTTAGCTTGCGAAAGTATTTCTGGTGGATCGTGGTAGAAATAGAGCCGTAGATCGCTGACGTCATCGAGGCTTAATTTTGAGGCGCCGAAACAAGGGCTGAATTGTATAAAAGATAAATTTCAATTCAAGACCACAGAACAAGCCGATTGGACAAAACTAGCTAGGCCACGGTGAACTGCAACCAAGAGTTAGACAGTTTCAAGAGAACCTCGTTGTGAGACTTACGTAGCTAATATCATCGACGCTACCACGCTGAGCGACCGCCGGTAGAGCAGGCTGATGGTTGGCAGCACTATTGATGCTGGAGATGCGGTATTCTCCAGCAGGCAAGCCGGCAGTAACATCGGCTGTTAGAACGCCATTCACGTCCGGCAAGTTCAGTCCCTTGAAAAACACGAATTTCCTGGCCGAAAGGATGAGCAGGGTCCAAAAACGGGCTGGTATACATGACTTACCGGGGATCGGTTGGAGTAGTCTGATCCTTGGACGTCAAGGCCTCAATGACACAGTGAGAGTGGCCAATCAGGGTGCCATCATCAGTCGTTTGAGCAGGGGCAGAATAGTAGTTTGTCGTAGGGTTCACAAAGTTGCCTGTCTTGAGGTTCTTGATAGCCATCCTAATGGTAAAGGCCTTGTTTGCTGGGATCGTCTGACCGTTCTTGGGAAATTGGAACTTGGAGATCGGAATTTTGTCAGTCGCCAGAATACGTCCCATGGGCACGCCGTTGCAAGACCCCGCTTTAACTTGCTGCCCGTTTGTCAGCGGAACTTTTTGCGTTAGGCAAAAGTTGATGCTAAACCAGAATCAGCCACCGCGTGTTGAACGAACAGATTGAACTCACAAGTTGTTGCGTGATGTCAGAGACGCTACTTGGCCTGCAGTAGGAGTGTCTTGGCCGTCTTTGGCAAGATTGGACATAATAACCTTGGGATCGAGATCCAGTGAGGATTGGGGGTCATCAGATCCTGCGCTAGCCGTCGCGCTAGGGGCAGCAGAGGTCGTCTTGGTATTAGCCCGAACGACGGTACCAGAACTTCGAACAACAGAAGTAGTGAACCGGGAGGCCGTTGACGTTGTACGAGCCGTTGTCGCACGAGTCGTCGCACGAGCCGAAGTTGTCGTAACAGCCGAAATACTCGTCTGAGACAAAGACACCGAGCTGGAGCTTTGGACGCTTGATGTGCCAGTTTGCAATGTGGTCGTGCCGCGAGTCTTGGTACTGAATCGAATACGGCTCGAGGTATTCGAGTCTTTGATACCAACCTTGCTCGTGGTTTGTGAAGCAGAACGAGTCACTGTAATAGTAACTGGGTCCGTTGGGCACGGAGATGAAGACGATACAGCAGTGGTCTTGACATCTTTGACACCTCCTTTGCTGGTCGAGGTGGTTACAGCAGAAGTCTGTATGATGGTTCAGAGCGAATACCTCAAACTTTATGACCCGACTTACAGCTGTTTTCGTCAAGGTGATCATGACAGTCGATGTCTTGGTTCGTGTATGCGTGGCCATTCCGGTGCTTGTCACAGTACTCGTCGCCATGGTTGTATGCGTCCGAGTCGCGCCCCCCTTGACCTCGACTGTCGTGGTAACAAACGATGTAACGAAAACGGTGGTAGTTTGCTCCACCACCACCGTAGTCACCGGCTTGACCGTAGCCATCGTAGTAATAATCGGCGGAGGCTAAATATGTGTGTCAGCAAATCGCAACTAGTTCGTCCAACACACGCACCTGTTGGGCTTTGGATGTTTGGACCTTGCGGGTTTCGGTCGGCTTGGAAGGCGATGCTCCAAGATTGCCTTGTCCTTTTGATCCAGGGTTGCTGCCCGAGCCGACCGTGACTGTGATAAAGTGGTCAACAGTCTTGGTGCTGACTTGGGTGACGACTGAAGTAACGACAGATACGCCGGCCGTATTGCATGCTGTTGCAGACAACAAATCTGTCAAGGCCGCTGACGTAGTCGCGGGCGACGTCGCATTGGCCGAGATACTGGTTGAGGCTGCGACGTTTGGAGCAGAAGAGGCAGAGGCGGACACTGTTACCGTCGAGGTAAGGTCGAGGGTCTTAGTCACAGTAGCAAGGCTTGTAGATGTGGCTGCCGACTGATGGGGCTGTTGTCAGTTTCGGCCGTGGATAATGAACTCGGACCTACGACGGCGATTGTTGATTTGTTTGCCGATGCCGAGACGGCAGCCAAGGCAACCGCGAGGTAAGCAAAGATCGAGGAACGCATAATAGATGGTTTTGAAAAGGTTAAACAAAAAGTTGAACAAAGCGACACTCGGCCGGGACGAACAGCAATCCAGTTGCAGAAAAAGAGAATGTGAACGACTGCACAGCAAGCCGAAGGAAGGAATGAAAAGCGGTAAGCCGCAAGGAATGCTGGGGAGGGTACGTTAGTGACGCAAAGTGAGATACTTTGCCCAACTTACAATGAGCACTCTGACGGGGAGAAATACAGACAACAGAGACGTGGGCTAGATTTATATAGCCCCATTCGACTCGGCAAACTGACCCGGCAAAGCACATGTTTGCATAGCTACGGCCGGCAAGGCACGGGGCGCATGAATCCTACTTTCGGCAAGGAACCCGAGAATATCGAATATGCATTCTCTAGTCAGTTGCAACGATATTGGAGGTCAATTTATAGCATGCCAAGTCGTTGGCAAGGTGACAAAGAGGGGTAAGGGTTGAGGAGGTGGCTATGCATGATGGCGCTTATTTGCAAAAATCTTAATAAGGGATAGAAGCTCAGTGGTTGAGCAATCGATTGCAGCTTTCTGCGTGATTTCAGTAGCGCAAATCTTACGTAATCGATAGGCCGCGTGTTCGATCCACGCCTGTCCCTTCAATTTTGTGCAATTTTAGAGCCTTTTCTGTAGTGGAATGTGTTGCGGATTTGTGCATTGATTTGAGCATCAAAATTAGGACCCTATGATGACGTATAAGTGTCACGTGATATTGGGCTACTGCTCTGCTTCAGCCACCTGTCTATAGGCTTCATTAGGTATTCGGGATGCCCGAGGGTTATGTTGATGATGTTTTATATGGTTGCTGTCGTGACATTAGTGTTTCCAAAAGACATTCTGATTCATGCTGCCTCTACTGTGTGTTTCACTTTTCCCATACGTTTGAAAAGCCCTTCTTGAGAGTGCTCGGTCATGATCATAGCAGGAAAAGAGAGGGATCATGATATCACAGCCTGTTTATAATTGTTATGGTGCGATTGATGCGCTCTTAACTTCTCTACCTATACCATTCTTGCATGTATATATGCGTGTGTATTTCCTGGCCATGGAGCTTGAACAAAATCATCCGTGTACATCACCATATGCATTGAGAGCTCAAGAAACCGTGCTTAGCTATGTAATTTTAATATACATCTCACCAGCCCCCTTGGTGGACATTGCCCATAAGCGTGCTAACCTCATTCCACCGCAGAACCATACCAAAGCACTCCACATTTTCTAAGGTTCCACTCTAGCCTATGAAACGCGTTGTGAATTTGGTAGTATCCAATAATTTTCCATCACAGCGACTTCCTATCTCTTTCGGGATATACGTGTGCTTATATGCATATTGTTGGGGGGGGGGCGGAGCCGCCTGATAGGGGCTATCACGTGTGTCTCGGATGAGTATATAGGGGTTCCTCCCCCGACCGGCATCGTCTCTTTCTTCCCAGTCGTGCGGTCGTGCTCTCGAACTTGCACTTCACATATAACAGGCCCTTCCAACCCCCCCCCGGACCCCGCTTTCAGAGCTCTGGCTATACTTTAATCTACCCTTGGCGCGACCTAGTCGGTGCCCACTTCAGCAAGTCTTCGACTGATGCCCGCATCACAAGCGCGAAAAACCGCACGGCTTCATGCAATTACTTGGTGGGAGACCTCGGCTCTCCTCGCCCGACGCTCAAGTATGGCCTTCATTCGCTGTTAGGCAACATCACATTTCAGGAGGATTGGAATAATGCCGTTTTCGCTCGATCTCAACCCCAAGTTCGTGGGGAGTGTGTTCGCAAAGACGTTCCTGCCGACTTATATCGTGTACCGAGACGTAGAGATACTGGTAGGCGAGATCATGGCGCTGTACGACCGGATAGTGAATAGCATGGGGGTAGACAAGGTCGTGGCGGATGCGATCCACGACTTTACGGCATTCGACTTCTGGGAGCCGGACTAAAATAACGCTCATACGAGGATTTCAGTATATCTATTTGCATTGGGCTCATCATGCTTTCCATCTGATTTTTAATACGCTTGTATAGCTAGAAGTAGAGAATAGTTGGCTACATATTGTAGCGGTCGCCTTGATTTGTCGACGGATTACTTGAGATTGAAATAGTCGGTGCTTTGAGAATCGACTTATACATCCCATTAACTCATTTTTGTTGACTAAAGGATATATCGAGGCATCAATTGGATAAACTTTATCCCTTTTGGTGCAAGAACTCTCACGTCAACTCCCACCACTTGGCCAGGTGATTCGCTGATTCCAGGCAGTGGCACTATTTGCTTGGCAAAGAAGCCTGAATCAGCCTGCGGACGGAGCTTAACCAATCATGAGTGGCCGAATCACATACTCCGCAAGGCACTCGGAGTTATGCGATGCGTAAAAGTAGCATAGACTCCTGAGGCTTCGGATATACACTGACCGGTGTATGGCATTCCTTGTTTAACCGAACGTCATGCTATCAAATACATTCCCTCAGCATGAGCTATTAAACCAGGGCCATCCCCTAGCTGAGCTTACCTCTCCTTGAGCTCGAGATCGACCCAATGGAAAAGTCACAGATCGAGACAATCGAGCGGGCGTCAATCAAGTCTACTTCGTCGACCCCACAGGCGACTGTTGACTCGTTCACTGAAGAAGAAGAAAAGAGGCTCATTAGAAAGCTAGGTAAGCTATATTAATTCTCATAGTGCAGCCCGCATAGCTCATCGCGTTTGTATTCGTAGATTGGAGAATTTTACCTGTAGTCATTGTCTTGTATCTCGCGAACTTCAGTGAGTGGGCTGGCCCTACATAACCACTTGGTGCATATTACTGACCAGGTTGCATCAAATGCAGTTGAGTAAGTGAAGCAAACGCTACAGCCATGTTTGGATGACTCACTTCATCGTGTCTCGGTGATTCAGTCGCACAAATGTCGGCAATGCCAAGTAGGTCGTTGTCTCCGACTACGTAGTGTCTCACTGAACCGAACGAACACCAGGGTTGCTGGACTCGAAAAAGACATTGGTCTAGTAGGATACCAGTGTATGTCACCTAGATCTCATGTAGCGCTCTCCAACCCAGACAATCATGACGCTAGATAATATTGGGCTCTCGATCTTTTACATCACATACGCCCTCTCAGAAGGTTCATTCCTAACGTCGGAGCCAGGTTAGGTGTAGCTAACGCTAGATCCGTTTGATTACAGTGCCATCGAATTTGTTTCTAAAACATATCGGTGCAGACAAATGGAGTAAGTCCATTCAAGTGCCATATCAGATACTACTGACTAACTTCTTCCAGTTCCAATTCTTGTAACGGGGTTTGGGCTTGTTTGTTTTGCAACCACATTCATCAAGGATTTTGGTAATAATTCCATTGCATACAAAGAAATCGACGAGATGCTGACCTGCTGGTCGTCTAACAGCTGGGTTTATGGTGGTACGCGCGCTCCTGGGGCTCTGCGAAGGTGGCTTGATGCCTGGAGTCACCTATTACCTCAGCACATATTACAAGCGTCACGAACTAGTTCTTCGCGTTGGTATATTTAGTACGTCGAGCTTACTTACTAGCTATTTTGCTCTAATCATGTAATATTTTCAGTTTCGGCTTCCTCTATGAGTGGCGCATTTGGAGGCCTGCTTGCGTCTGGCTTACTCAAGATCCCCCAGCTCAAAGGAGTGTATGTCGCAATTTCAGCTCACCCAACTTCTCGTGTCCTCCAGCTGACCGTAATCTCTTCATGTCAGTCCCCATGGAGCTTGGCGAAATATCTGTAAGCAGGAAAACCCAAAGTGGGACGCGTGCTCATAAAATATCTAGTCTTGGTTGAAGGGATTATTACAATCGCCCTCGGTCTCGCCGGGTTTTACCTCTTGCCTGGACCAGCTGAAAGGACTAAGTTTTTAAACGAAAGGGAAAGAGCAATTGCTATCCAGAGACTGATTGTTCAAGGAGAGGACGGAAATACCGCTGTAAGCCTTGCATAGACACCAACGCATGACAGAAGCTAATAACAGTTTCCAGGGAGAAAACGCTGCCAAAGGGGACGCTTGGTGGAGAGCGTTCAAAAGCTTGAATACTTGGATATGTGCTGTGAGTTGAATCTTAGTTTGTGGTATACACGACTTATGCGCCACAGATATGCTTTCTTTTGAACAATATGACGGTCCAAGGCATATCTCTCTTCATGCCTAGTTTGTTGAGAGGGATGGGTTATTCGCCAATTCAGTCTCAGCTACACACGGTTCCACCTTACGTTGGTCGTGCTCCTTCGAAGCACTGGATTCGTACTAACATAAGGTTGTAATTTGCTTGCAGGTAGTAGCCTCTGTTTTCTCGATTGCGATAGCATATATGTCATTCCGAACTGGGCGCCGTGGAATGTGGCTCCTTTTCATCGTACCATTGGTTATTATTGGTCTGTCTATCCTGATTGGAACATCGAACTCCAAGGCGAACTACGCTGGCGTGTTTCTGATTGCAATGGGGGCGTTCCCTCAAGGTCCTATCGTGTTAACTTGGGTGAGTGGAAAAGCGATTCAATGCCGATACTGTACACTGATGTCGTATGATTTCAGGCTACGAACAACGCCGCGGTAAGTAATGGCAACCCTCAGACCTATCACTCGAACCAAGACTGAATAATGAACGATAGCCGAGCACCGTCAGAGCTGTTAGCTCTGCGATGGTTGTTGCTATTGGTACGATGGGACCAATAGTGACCTCGTGGATTTATTTACCTAGTGACGCGTACGTACCCCTGTAGCAACTTGCGGTTCGGCAGAATACTAACAGCCTGACGTGTATCGATCAGTCCGAGATATCATATCGTAAGTCTAGATTCAAGTAGTAGAACAAAATAATTGAATAGTCCCGGTTTAAAGGCGAATAGCGTGCAAATCACGGCGCAAGGAGTCTTCTTTTTGCTAGTGGTATGTCCTGAACCTCGAGTGCAGAGCCCAGATTTTTATTAACAACCGGAAATCAAGATTATCCTTATATTGCACAACGTGCGCGAGAACCGCCGTCGAGCCCGTGGCGACCGAGACTACCGCCTGAACGCTGATGAAAGCACCGTTGCCCGGTTGGGCTCTTTGCATCCTAGCTTCCGTCTTGTAGTGTGAAATTCTTTGTGTTGTTTTGCATGGGAGCCAGTATCGTGTGTAATTGTATCGCGTTCATGAACAGCAATGAGTGGCGATGCTTGTCGGTGTGCAATGTTATACATTGCTTGGTGGTGGGCTCATCATTGCCAATTACCTAAAGGATGACGTGTGACGTCACGGCGGGAACCACCTGGAACATACCACCACCTTAGTCTATTCGCGCCAGTGCTTGGGTGTTCGCTAGTGCACCTCATCACTTCTCATTTCTTGGTTTTCAGACATGCCCCAGGTGCGTCTTTGTTCGATGGTTGAACGGTCCGCGTGGGTCTTACACGCTTACGACACAGCGCACGCCCTCCGAGAGGCGCAGAGCCTCGACTCCGAGCAGTCAGCCACCAGAAAGCGAATTCAGTACTCTATCTACCAGCAGTATACCTCTATCTCGTCCAGCAAATTCGCCCCTCCTCTTGCACAGACTCCTGGTCCTTGCCCTCCTGACAGCTTTAATATTGGGTGGCACGCTGTACT